ACGTCACGTGTGACGTCAGTATGAGAACGTTCTACAATGCACCGCGCGGTTCCGCCGACGCCGACGGTGACCCCGCTCAAGCCGGAAACGGGCGCCTGAGAGCTGCTCTCAAAACATGCCTCAGGCAGTACCTCCAGGCTGTCTTTCGTATACGATGCATTAGCAGTGAAAGCACGGCTGAAGTATCTCTTCGTTACCGCGTGCCCCACAGAAACACGCCGACCTTTCTCTCATCTCTGCGGCTCCTTTTTTTTTCTGTTAGTGTATATAACAAATCAGGCGTTTGGTATTCGATATTCGATTCGACATTCGACGGTTTAGCCAATATTCGTCACCCTTTGATTTCAATTTGATTCGAGCTTAAGGGGTACGCAAACGAAGTCTTTTCACTTCTTTCTTCGTTTAGATGTAGTCTACGTTCCGTCGGCAGCCCAGAAACACTAGCCTCTGAGCTGCCGACAGAGAAGCCGAGAAAACAAAGCTTACAAAAATGAAGTAGCAGGTTTCAAAATAACGCCTGGTGGCGGTCTGTGAATCTCCGTTGGAACGACGCTACGTCATGAGGTGCTAAGAAGCGGTGCCAGTTCGCGACAGTATGGCGAGGACCATCAAATGATTTTCTCAACTACTTCCTGCTTAGCTTTAATCCTCAACTGTAAAGCGAAATGAAAAACCACGTGGTCGCGACGAGCTTGGACACCGAATGCGATAAATCCAAGCTTCCACCGTGCTTTTCAAGCACAGACTAAAATTCGTCATTCGCGATGATAAGTGCCGTCACGGCCTCATTGGCCACGAACGCGAATCCAAATATTCGTCGACGAATTGAGTGTTGACGATTGCATACATCCGAGTGACGCAGTTCTCGTGTCCAATGCCTGAGCTGGGTTCGGCCCACGCGCTTTGGGGACCACGGATGCATCACAGTGAAAGGCGAACAGTCTTTTAAGGATACGGCGTAAGAAAGAGTACGCAATATTTTCAAAATTTCGTACCGAAACGCAAGCTTTTGACTTTTTACCTTCTTTCTTTTGGGTCAATAAACGATATGCGATTAGTAAAATCCCAATTTAAAATCATTTATCCAAGATCAAAATCTAATTTATGGGTCCTTTAATTTTTACCATTCAAACTCCCCTACATTTAATCCCCGAAAACAAATCCTCGAAAGAAAACACGGCACGAAAGAAAACACAGATTTTTTTAGATTTTTTCGTGCAGATACGAACCTGCACAAGGGAAAGTGCCGTGTAAAGCTAGACGACCCATGCCACGTCCCCCACGGAACCACGCGGAACAATGAACAAAGGTTATTTCCGAAGGAAACCTTACATTGCGTTCTATTCATTTCGCCTGCATGTATTGATCATTTGCTTTAACGTACAATATGTTTTCGACCCCTCACCCCTCCCCCTTGACAGTGTAACGACAAACCGCACGTTCACCCACAAACTTAGCAGGACCTGCTCGATAGTTTACTTCCATAAATCAGTCACCGCGCGCGTTGCCTTCTGGGAACTTGAGGGCCAGGAGCGGAGTGCCTACGGCCTTCGCACCGATTCCCCCAATGCATAACGTGCATTATACGCCACGATGAGGCGCTTCGAGTTTTGGAATAAGTCTATTTAGAGGAGACAGCGTCACGTTCCGCGATGAAATGGTCTCGCGTGACGCATAGTGCCACACGCGGCGTCAGTCGTGACCACGTGATCCATTATGAAAGCAAACTACGTGACCGACCTATGTATTCTGCGTACGATGTTTTCGTCAGGGACGACAAAAGTGCCGCATTGTTTTTTTTTTGTTTTTTTTTAAAGCAATGTGGTTTTGCTTCACGTATACCAGTCAGTTGAAAGCCACATAGATCCTACAAAATACAGGGTGTTAGCTTAAAACATGGCGACCAAATTCTCTGCCGACAAGTCTCAAGCTTGTTCGAATTATGCTTGCTTCGTACCTACGTATGCTTCGAATAATGTCCGCAGGAAGCTTTGGTGTGACCAACGTGACAAGACCGCCATAGAAGGAAAATATCCCGCTTGAGACTGTGCCTGCGGGTTGTCTGTTGTGGGATATGTGTTAGCCGTGTCACCACGGCTTAAAGCGAGCCGAAACGGGTAAAATGTCACAAGGGGTTTCTTTGGCATGCTAATCTATGAAACCAACTGTCAATCTTTGGCAATGGAAAATGTGCCAATCCAATAATTGTTTTGTTAACAGCTTAACGTATACGCTAAGTCTCGTGTCTTCTCGGCCTCAACGTCACTGGACCAGCTTATATTTCCGAAGCCTTTACACCCGAGTACCTAACGAACAGAAGTGATTTTTTTTTTTGTTTCCCCCAGAAAATGCGTGCATGTAGACACCTCTAGCAGTTTCCGGCACACCACACTTCCAAGTTTCCAACGCCAGTCCTCGAAAGGCTTTCTTCACCAGCGCATGGCAGCGCGTGCCAGAGACAGGTTTTGCGCGCACGCAGAAACACACAGGCAAACGCAGACGCGTCGAGCACACTTCAGAACGACCGGTTGTTGTGGCGCATCGCTGGAGCATACACGTATTCGTGCCTGTCGCCGACGGCATCGCACGCCGCGACGCTTTCCCAAGGCGCGCACCGTTGTCGGTCGATGGTTCGCCGCGGCTCGTTGGCGATTCCCGTCGCGTGCGGTGTTGCCGTTGCGCGACACTGCAGCAGTGGCATTCTCTCCCCCGTCCCCCCAAAAAGCGGGTCAAAGACGGCCCGGTCCGATAGCCCGCACCGATTGCGTCGACGGCCCGCGAGGTCTTGCCGAGGAGGTGGTCCCGTGCCGAAGAGCCGTGCCCCCCCTCGTTCCTATACTCGACTGTGAACGCTTTCTCCCTACCCGACGCCAAACAACCGACGGCACTCAACACCCCATACACAACAAGGCCTTAGTGATAGATTTCCTACGTCGCCTATGGGAGGCCGTCCGCGGCGTACATAATGGGCACCGGAGCTGGATCAGCGTTCGATTAGGACCAATGCAGAGCGAAAGTTCGTCTGCTTCTTTTGCAGGGGATGCGGTGACGTCAGAAAGACGTCGAGCTTTGATTGGCTCTCATTGAAGGATAGTGGGTAGACCTCAAAGCGAACTGCCTCGAGGTCTACCCACTATCCTTCAATCAGAGCCAATCAGAACTCGGCGTCTTTCTGACGTCACCGCAACCCCTGCAAAAGAAGCAGACGAACTTTCGCTCCGCATACCGCATAGAAGACGAAGCAGGCGTCCTTCACTCTCAAATGTGAAGTGGATTCATGCAGCTTGCGTGAGCGACGCAACCCGGGCGTTTTGCAGCGTCTCAAAACAAGCGCCACGCTACGACGCGGCGACGCCAAGAGGCACGCGTCTGCCGCTTTCCGGCGTACAGTCGTCGAGCTTCAGCGTCCTTGCCGTTTGGGGCGGCTCGAGGATCCACGTGCTATGACGCCATGGGCAGGCCTTGTCTTATAGGGGGTATTGGTAAGACTCGCCGGACGCCAACACTGATGCCGAGAGTTCTTCGACGCAGTACCCCGAAGACGAGGCCCAACTAAACGTCGAAGCAGCGTTCGAGTCCAATCTGCATCTGCGCTAGATCTCACTAACTTAAAAATGCTAAAACGCCAGTGCAGTTTTTTTTTTTTTAGTTTTTTTTATGTGGTTTTATTTTTGGGGTGTTGGCCGAGAGCCGGTATGTGTGTGTGTGCGCTAGTCGGGATGTGTGTGTGTGCGCTAGTCGGGAACGCACCTCCGACTGGTGTGTTTTTACGACATAACCAACTTTCTGGGACATTTCGGGGAATAAAGGGTTTCAATCAAAGATCTCAAAAAAGGAAATGTTGATTTACGTTTTATGACATCCAGGTCATTACAGTCCTCGGTAACGTTGTAATCTTCAGTCAAGTAAAGCAGAAATGGACAGTTTTGTGAATGTGTTCCGTAGGATTCAATTGAACAAAATTGGTCGAGCCGAGGAATAAAAGCTGTATGCGACCAAAATTTTAATTACTACTCGCTGATGTTTCATGACTGATAGCTAAAATATTCCCGGAAAACACTGCGATGCCCGTTGTTGTTCAGTCGAAATTCTCGTACTAGTGCATGCCCTCAGGCGTTGACGTCCTTAAAAGGGGAAAAGGGGGCAGGGAAGGGGGGGGGGGGGGGGGGGAAAGGAGGGAGGGGGTCCCTTAAAAAAAAGAAAAAAAAAGCGATCCCTCGCTTTTGACGTGGGACCGCGATTTCCAGCTGATGACGTCACAGAAGTGTCACGCTGTCGCCGGAAGCGATCCTGGCGGCGTCACAGCAGCGGTGGTGGATGTGGCAAGCGCCTGTTAATCTACAGCAGGTCGTTTTCCAGCTTAACAGTTTACGGAAGCATCGGAAGCCAGAAGTTGGGACGCCGCGACGATAGCGACACACTCGCGTTGGCTTATGCTTTTTGCCGAAACTTCTAGAACCAACCGCCAGGATCGTGACACCCCCCCAGCACGGCACTCCGACTTTTGTGACGTCATTTGTCGCCACTGCGGGAACAATTTCGATGTATGGGAAGGCAGAACGCAAAACACACCAGTCAGAGACGAGTTCCGAATACCGTACAGGGTTTTAAAGGTTTCGCGAATCTGCAGATTTCTTACGAACGAGGACTTAGTCTTTGGTCGTAAATAGGAGTGTAAATGGCAAAAAAATGCATTGGTTTTGTTGACTAATAATTACGAGACGCGCTACAACGAGCGAAGTACTCACTGCGGAGATGTTGTTAGCTACCCAACAAAGGAAGTAGCGTCTGCTAGAATTGAGGTTTGTCCCACACGGGGATCACTCACCTTTCTGACTTTTGCGCGGCTGCTCTCAAGTATGCAGACATTCCTCACTTTTGTTTTGTACCTCCCATTTCTTCTGTGCGAAGGAACGAGTTACAGTCGACGTGCTCGCCGCATGCATATGCACCCCATATATTGCACGAGTTCGGTGGCAGACGCCTGACCGTGCACTCACCGTGTGGGCGGAGTCGCAGTGCCAGGTGCAGGCAGCCAGCAGCAGCAGCACCGCCAGGGTCGCGATGGTCATCGTGGGCCGGACTGCCTGCGAAGAACGACACTGGTCAGAGTCAACGTCGCTTCACAAAGGGGCCGTGAAACGAAATTCCGTTTCAATGCACATCTGCGCAAGTACACTGACGCAAGTGTGATGCGAGTACTGCCGCGATGGTCGACTTGGCATGCACTGCCAGCGAGGAAAGAGACTGCAGGGACTGCGAAACGACATTCCGTTTCAATGAACTCAATATACTCCAGCATACTGATGCGAGTGTGATGCGAGTGCTACCGGGATAGTCACTGTAGAGCGGACTGCGTGCGGGCAACGAGGCTGGTCAAAGTCCACGTCGCCTCAACAGGACCGTGGAACGACGTTCCACAAGTATACTGACGGAAGTGTAATGCGAGTAATACCTCAATAATCATCTTGTAAAGGGCTTCATGTGGGGAACAAGACTAGTCAGAGTCGATGTCGGCTGAAAGGAACCGTGGAACGACATTTAGTTTCAATGTGCGCAATGTAAACAAGGATACTGACGCACGTGTAATGCGAGTACTAGTATGCGATCACCACGGTCATCGTGGGCCGGACTGCCTGCGGGCAACGAGACTGACCAGAGTTAACGTAGCCTCAAAGGCACCGGGAAAGGACATTGGGATTCAATGTACGCAATTTACGCGAGCATACTGACGCAATTGTCATGTGAGTAATACCGGGATGGTCAACAAGGAAAGAAAAACTGCCTGCGGGCAACGAAGCTAGTCAAAGTCGACGTCGCCTCAAAGGTACCGCGAAACGACAGTGGGTTTCAGTGTTACGCACTTTACACAAGGATATTGACAGAAGTGTGATACGAGTACTATCACGAACGATATAAGCTACAACATCCCTTCATGATTTCTGGACGTACAGAATACAATAATATTAAAGACACATTTTATGATGCAGTTTGAGGCGGCTGTGTGGGATTCGCTTTGTCACGGCCCACATTGCTTGGAGTGAAATGACTTTTAAGCGCAGCTCTAGGCGCCCGTTTGCGGCTTGAGCGGCGTCGCCATCGGCGTAACCGCGCGTTGCATTATGGGACGCGTGACGTCACTAATGACATCAGTGACGTCATCGGCATCGTCATCGCCATCGCCCCTGATGACGTCATCGGCATCGTCCCTGATGACGTCATCAGTGACGTCACTGATGACGTCATCGGCATCGTCACTGATGACGTCATCGTCACGTGACTTCTAGGGGGTCACGTGACCCCCGTGATCTCACGTGACCCCGGATACGTCGCGTGACCCCGGTGACGTCACGTGACCCCCGTGAGGTCACGTGACCCTCGTGAGACGACGGCGACGCCGCTCGGAGGGAGGAGTAGGAGACAGGATGAGGAAGTGAGGAGGAAGGAGGAAGGATATACCTTTCCCTCAGTACCCTTCCCCTCCTCCTCCTTAAGAGCTGCGCTCTAATCCGGCGTTACAAAGAGTTGTAAACGGCTTTCATTTTTGTTCTATTGTTTTTTTAAAAAAATAAAGTACCTCTAGCCAAAGTGTGCTTAGCACGAAGAAATTGCCTCAATGAATGGGTCTTTCATATTGTTAGAGACTGTACCTGCCGGTGTTTGACAAATCTTCGGTACATCAAACATATGCAGCACGAACTCTAAGTCCCATTATATAAACTCTTTGACAAATAGAGATTGAGCGGATCGCATGCCCAGACAGGGGCCGCCTCAAGTTTTACAGCTCATATCATTCAGCTGAAGATGCGGGCACTTGGATGCAGTAATAGCGAGGCAGATGTTTTTCTGTTGAGGTTTAATTTCAAGTATAGATGTTTGTTTGAATCTCTCCTTCTCAAAAAAGCTTGATGACACGATCGCGGAGATCACACCAGGTTAATGGCAGTAGAATGCTAATCAATGATTAGACACGATCGGCAGACGGGAAACCGACCAGCTCTAACAATAAACTCATTCCATGGACAGCATGCGAGAGATTCGTGTTTCTAGCCGGAGCTCGTGCCGACGCTTTGAGCACAGATTAAGAGCGCTCGTGCAGGACCGGCAATCCGTAGCAGCGCACAACCTACAAAAGCTCCGCAATGTCCGGGGTGCAGCACATACTTTGTTTCTTTGCCAACCACATCATGTTACTTTAAACAACATTGGCGGCACGAAGCCCGCACCAAATCATGAAACCAAATCGCAGCAATTTGAGGGGATGAAGGCATTTCATCTCGTCAAAACTGTTTATTCTGAGTAGCATTGCATGGAAAGAAAAAAAAACGCCTGTTTCCGATATTATAAGACAAACCATGTGTCATTAATGTCCTGCCTTCTATTTTACTTTATTTAGTAATAAATGTAATATGGTAACTGACTGTACTTACCGTTATTATTATTTTATTATTTCATCAGACTTTAAAGCGCTAGCAGGCTATATACGTTTTCCACAAGGGCGCAACTATCTTGAATGTCGTCACATCTGGTATGCGTTCACGCGTCGTTTTGATCTATCCTTGCCGCTGGATGGTGTTCACAAAAAATGCGGGATTGTGAAACATTCTTGTTTTGAGTCACCTATATAGGACGAAAGAAAAAAAAAAGGAAGTCTCCATTTCGTTCACTCGTAAGCTGGCATTGAGTGGAAGCTTAGCGATGGCTCCAGGACAAATCAGGTGTTGACTGCGTGTCAGGTCCTTGCGCCAAGCGAGCGAGTCGGGAATAATAATGTGGAAATAACATTCTTCGCGGAAAATATAAGAGTCGAGCGGCACGTACCATGGTTGTGATACATCCTGCAGCCTTCGCTCCACTGTCAGTTTAAGGCTGATATACGACTGTCGCAGCTCACACGCATATTTTGTTTTCCCGCTGCTGTAGAGCATGGAGCTTTAAAGGGGTGGTGCAATAATAATCTTTCATTTACACGAGCTTACTGGCAGTAGTGGGACCCAGGCATAGTCGCACTCAACACCACTGAACAAAAGACTTCCTTGTTGCGGTGTATTTTCAAGGAGAAAAGCGAGCGTTTTTTTTCAATCTCCTTCGCAAAAAATTGATGACGAGCGTCACTCGCGGTTTCGGGATAGTACCCCAATGACGGCCGAATGCGGCTCATAGATTGGACCCGAGTATTGCGTGTCCACTTGATATGGGCACGAAATAATCAATAGTTCGACAAGCCGTCGGGTAGTAAACTGTGATTAATCGCTGTAATGGCGACAATAGCCGAACCATACCAATGTCTGGAACTCAGCGCGTGTCGTGTGCCTTGACAACCCCAGCGCGTGGCTGTTATCAACATTGGCAGCATGTGATCGGCTGCAGATCACGTGGTTGATTGTTTTGGCTGCGAGTTGAGGGGGTGAACGCTGCTCGTTTTTCTTTAATTTTTTTCTGCGACTTCGATTACGTGTGGTGAAATACGAGCGCGTGTTTCATAGGCCCTTAAGACTCGTTCTAAACGGCATTTGCGCAAAGTACAAAAATCGTTGCATCGCCCCTTTAAATAGATACTGCAACAAAATTTCGGCGCTTATTTCTTGGTGTATCCGGGTTCCAGGGAGCAGTGTCTCATCGGACAGCCCAATCTCTCGTTGAAAAAGACACGAAAAGAAATTCTAAAACGAATTAAAGTATTAGCAAATGGCACCTGGTAGGTGTCTTTAAAGCCTCGTTTGTAATGTCCATCTGGGAACCTTGAAAGGTAGTGACGATGCCTGTCTCGCCTAGAACTATAGCCACACTGGTGCTCCATGCATCTAAACATATGCAGCGTGTACGTAAGTGTAGTTTTGGCAAGCTTGGAATGGTACGCACTTGCCCGCACGAGCAAAGGCATGGCGGCGGCCAGATACCCTGCTGCTTGCAATCGTCTTGTCAACGCCAGCCTCCCGCCGCAGCTTTGCTCGTACCGAGACAGGTTACGTCACGATTGCGCCGGATGTCACGTGCTCTACGGCTCTGCGAGCGCTTGCCATAGTGGGGCGTTTATAACGAAAAATACAGCCATGAGGCTCAAGATACAAAACGTGCGATAGTCATTTACGGATATTTCGGATCACAATCAGCCTATTTCTGTGCACAACGGATATGTTTCAAATTTCCTCAAAGCATCCTTCTAAAAAGTATACTCTTGAACTTAATTAATGCCCTCGTTCTAACGGCAGATGGCGATGGGCACGAGCAGAGTTGAGATCTCGAGCTGGTTTTCCGATTAAAGGAGTGCGTTCTGACAGCCGTTCGCCCCCCTCTGTGTTCCTTTCGTTGTCGGAGAGTATAGTCTGTGTATATCCGTAAAAATTAAACTGCAACGTAAACAAAAAGGAATAATAAAAAAACACAAAATAGATAAACCGTGCATCAGATTATGCACTCGCGGACAGTTAAAACAAGACACGATGCAAAACTAGTTTTTTTTTTCCTGGTTTCTCTTTTGAGGTTGAAATAGACGTGACTTATTAATATAAAAGAGGATTCCGTTTATGTGCCAGACAAATGGAAAGTGAGGGTTTTTGTCTAGACACAGTAAGGAAAAAAAAAATACTGAATTGGGATCACTCTCTCTTTTTTCTTTCTTTTTTTGGTAGAGAGATAACACCCACGTTCAAACAAAAGAACGCTTAATTGTAGCGTACGTGAAAGAGATACGTAATCGCTGAAAATGAGCATTTGGAGAATTCTCTTCACCCCCTGTAGTTTCTTCCTGCCAAAGACAACTATGGGAACCATTTAATTGGATTCTACACCACAGTTTTATTGTTGTTCGTTCCTCGAAATATCTTGACATAAAAGATACTAGTTAATGAGCCACTATCTAGTCTGAATTGCTTCCAGCAGAACTTTCATGTGGTGCACGGAAGTGAACAGTATAACAATTGAATTGCTACGAGAGGTTTCAGAATGAAAAAAAAAAAAAATCCTATTCTCGCTGTTTCTTTTTATATATATTTTTCAGTTGGATTTTGGTGTTTTTGTTGGTTAAAGCTAAAAAAAAAAAAGCAAGTCGAACTATTGTGTAACAGTTCTTGGGGCGTTGCGCCAA